GGTTTTAGGGTTTAGTATGCGGAACCGGCGGTATGTCAGGTACTCCTCGGCAACAGGGTGGCAAGCCAGGAGTCCACTCTGCCATTTCTCAAGCGCATCACTTTTAGGAACATCCGGCCCCAGACCATGCCTTGCCCTGGGCCTTTGGCCGTTGATAGCAGTCTCGACTACCTGAAAAATGTCATTTCCCCTGTGCCGTCTGGAAGGTGAAGTTCCCGGGGGCCGGAGGGGCAGCGCCGACCAGCCTCAAAGGAGAACATGACCTGAAAGAGTGTGAAGGGAGACACATTCCCAGGAGTCAACAGGAGAGGTGAGGCCCAGGGGGTCTACAAAGAGACTAGCTGGCCAGGGAGGTGGGCTCTTGGGCTAGAAGGGTTATCCAGAGGCAGAGCTTCCCGCCTTCCTCCCTGCCCACCCAGCCCTCAGCCCCAGCAAGCCCGCCTTCCCAGCCGGCACCCCTACCTTGTCTCGGCCATAGCGACGCAACAGCGTGTAGGGCCAGGAGAGGAGCGGCTCCAGTATCTGACTCTGAGTTCCCGCAGTCAGGAGAGTCAGCTTCTCAGCCTCCACCCTCAGCACATAGGAGCCATGCAGGCCGCAGCGCTCGGCGGCCTCGGTCCTCTGCACGGTTACCCAGAACTGGGATCCTGGGGGGAATGCTCAATGAGACTGGCACCTGGCCGGGGACGGGGACAGGTGGCCCGGCACTCCCTCCTAAGCCAGCTCTCAGTCACTTCCCACTTCCCCATGGCACCCCAGTCGGCCCCTTCCCAGGGGCACCCTTCCTTCCCACCTCCTCCCTGCACAGCTCTCCAGGCGGCTACCTTTCCCAGGCGGGGCTATACAGCGAGTTCTCCAGCATCTCCAGGGCAGAAAGCTTGGGTGGGTTCTCGGCAGGCGCCGGACCCCAGCTGCCTTTCTGGGGTAAAGAGAAAGAGAGTACCCAGAACCCTGTCATTTCCTCATCGCGGTTCCGAGGGTCTGAGCCAGCCCAGTTCCCCTGCCCAGTTCCTACCCCCATCCCGCATCGCCCCTAGGGCCCAGTTCGGCTCGCCCCAGCCCCTCGCGGGCAGTCCTGGCCCCCTCACCGGAAAGGCATTCAGGCACAGCATTTGCACCCAGGCGGCGCTGGACGGCGCGTCGGCCGCCAGCAGGTGCGAGCGCTGCGCGGTGTCCAGGCGGAAGGCGGCGGCTCCGGGCTCCGGGGGGCTCTCCAGGGCCACGGGCACCACGCTCACGCACTCGGCTAGACGGATCACCTTGCAGTCCAGGCGGCGCGAGCTCCCTCGGCCCCCTCCGGAGCTCGGCCCCTTGTGATCGAAGAACTCGAGGCGCGCTACGCCGTGGGGGCTGGCCGGGTAGAGCACGGCCCAGGTCTTCCTCCACCTCTGCGGAAAGAGAGCGGGAGGCGCTGGGGAGGCAGCGGGCGAGCGCCCGTCGGGGAAGGAAGGACCCGCGCAGGCCGCTTCCCAGGCTCAGGCTTCCCGACGGGGCCTGCGAGCGCGCACCCCAAGGCCGGCAGACGCGCCTCCGCAGTGTGCGGAGACTTCGTGGGGACTCACCGGGCTCTGCGCTCCCACCCGCTGCCTGCCCCTCCCCCTTCCCGGGCCCTATCGCCCACCCCTGGCTCTGGTGGGGTTCTGTCCCCCCGCCCCGGTCTACCTTGGCACCGAAACGCTGACCCTGCAAAAAGAGCGGCCCCTCCATCACGGCCCCGTCCATGGCCCCGTCCATGGCCCCCGGCGGTTCCTTCTTTGCTTCCTGGCCTTGCAAGCAGAAGCGGGCGGGGGCGGGCCGGAGGCGGGGCCGGGCCCACTCGGGGCGTTCCCGCCGGCGCCCCGGACCCCGCGGTCCGCGAGCTGGGAGGACAGAGAAGAGCAAGAAGGAGAGAGGGTCCCCCGATAAGCTGGACGGCGCCCTCCCTCCAGGCCCCTACCCTACCCACAGCCCTGGGACGCGCACGGGTGGCTCCACCAAGAGAAACCTCGCGGTTTCGGCCAGAGGGCTCTGGCGCCTGGGCTTGGGCATGATGTCATATGCTCAACGTGACGTAGGAGTGAAGGCTGTGACATCACCTGGAAAATGCCGACCGGCACCCTGGGGGCCCGGAGAGGCCACGTGGGCCCTCTTAGCCTCAGTTCCCCCTACCAGACCCGCCCCCGGCCTGGCAGTTTACTCTCCACGGAGCCGGGGACCGGGAGGAAGGGCTGGGGACTGGAAGGCTTCCCGGAGCCCGGAGCTGAGCCGCGGGCTCCCGCCGCCACAGGGGCCGCCGCCTGGGCCGCTCCACAGCCCCGTGGCCTCTTGCGTGTCTGGATCCCTGACCGCAGCCCCCGGCCTCCGAGCCCGAGGGAAAAGAAAGCCTCATTGAGCCGGCCCGGAGGGACAAAACAGGGGTGGGGAGGTGAGCAACAGTGCCACCTCGCACGCCGGGGAGGGGAGGACCTAGAGGAGGGACCTGGCTGGGGAGGAATTCGGGGAGAAGGCGGAATGTGGGCGGGCTCAAGGGGACGTGGGAGGGACAAAAAGAGAGGGGGGAGGGAGGGCGGGGGTCCAGTCTCCCCTGGCCGAGCACTTTTTTGGGGAAGTCCTAGGACCGATCTCCAGGACCAGGACTCTTCTCCCAGCGTCTAGGGCCCCCGCTCAGCCCAAGGTAAGGGGGTCACGCTGCCGGCAGGAGGAAGGGGAGTTGCGGATGGAGATGATGGTGGAGGGTCCAGGGCAAAGGGGTGATGTGGGCTGGAGACCCAGGGGAAGCCAACCAGCTGGAGGTTTTATTATTGTCAAAGAAGAGTAAGAGAAGAAGATTGGAGAGAGGAGGCAGATATTCGGGGGCGGGGGAGAGAGGGAGGGGGCAGGGTTTTCCAAATAGGGCAGCTGGGAGGGTCCTAAGGCTGGGGACACCTCTGTGAGGCCCTACCCCTGGGCCCCCAAGCCTAACTGTCCCCAGGAAAAAAGCTGTCCTGTTGGGTCGTTGGTCTGAGTCTGGGGAAGCATGTTGGGCGCCCCCAGCCCCTCCCCTGCGCAGTACGGGAGCTGTTCTCAGCCCCGACAGAGAGAGGCCTTGGCTGAGAAGATGAATGGTGCCCCCGCCTCCGGTTGCCCGGTGACAGTGGTGGGGGTGGCGATGTTGGCAGGAGACTTGGACAACCCCACTCCAGCCCCCCCCACCCACCCACCCAGCTTGAGGCCTGGCCCTCCTGGGCCCCTTGACCTGGCAGGGCACTTGAGAGCTTGTGTGCTGGGTAGGGCGTGCAGTGGGGTCTCCGTGGACTCCAGCTTCTGCCCGCTCGGCCTCAGAATCTGCCCAGATAGGACTCTGGGCTTGGCCTCAATTCACTGGACCCTGGATCAGAGGACCTCCTAGCTCCCCCCCCCCTCCCCTTT